CACAAAGTATGCTTGTTGAGTTTGTTTATAATTATACACGACTAACCTGCCATAATAATCTTTCACTCAATATAATATACAACCTAGCAAAATAAATACACAAATCCTAAACCTGTATCACTAACTCATTAAAACAATACATAATCAACCGACATACTCCTTGAGTAATATCACACTAACTTTATTGGACAACTCTAGACTGAACTTAATTCCATGGGACAATATTCAACCAACTGGACAGTGGACTGACCTGTAATTTCCTCTATAACACCTAAAAAGGAGAACCTATAGGGGTGTGAGCTAAACCACGTGTTCAGTGAGTATACATGCTGTATATGAAATGGAAATGATATTAATAAACAGAAGCAGGTAGATACTACATAGATATATGTATCAAACAACAACATCAATCCAATTCTAAAGAATTCACAAGTCACAACACATCCATACCACCCCTCATCGAGTAATTGATCCCACATGGATCCGTATCTCCTGAACCTCTTGGAAACACCATAGTACCACCACACCATTGCACGCCCAGTGATCAGACATCGATGCTCCTATCACAGATAGTGCGCTACATTCCACAATACATAATATAAAACATCATTCAGTCACATAGCATATAAACCTGGAGAGATGCTATTAAATTCAATCATTACTATCATCTTATAATATCATTTTAAAAAGATGTAGAGATATACACTCACCTCAAGTGTACAGATTTACGGGCCTTCGGACTCACCGGTGGATCTCTTTGGTGTTATAGTATCTGTTTCAACATCGAATTTTTTACCTGTTCCACCTAACACAATTATAATTACAATATTAACATGTTTATTACATTGAATAATTAATCATGCACTAATGTGTGCAAGATGATTCAACCCAAAGTGCCCCGGTAATTGCACTGTCCACTTACACACTGACACATTAGCTTTAGGGATCACATTTTCTCCCAAAATATCCAAAATCACTCACATTAATCATAATTAAGATTAAGTAGGCCAAACACATTGGCCGGAGGCCCATTTCCACACATTGCGACCCTGAATCCTAAAATCACACGTTCAAACATTTCATACATTTCGCACCAGATATTATATTCATTTGCATTAGAAATTTACATTATCACATCAAGCATCAATTAAAAACGCAGCATGCAAAAGTTCGGGTCAATTGAATTAAAATTCACACATGTGATAATAATATTTATAAATGAGGGTTTCGGCGTTACAGACATCAATTTCCAATTTCTATCGTACGTTTTTTTTAAAAAAAATCATACATAAACTCACACACTCATTAAATCATGCAAAATAGCCCCCCTAATTGAACCCTTAAACTCTCCATTCCACACCCAAGCATCTCAATATTTATTTTTCACATTTTTCTCACACCCGGTTAAACACCCACTTAAATTCCTTTTTTAACAGCCTTTGCTTATATTTAACACACTTAAATAAACCCACACAAAATTTGTTTTGAAATTAAACTAAAAAAGCCCACACATATACTCAAATACTTAAAATTAATCACACACACACACACTAAAATGAACACATGCCCACCCTTACTTTCTTCTTGTTTTCTTCTTCTTTTTTCCCACTTTCTCTTGCCTTTTCTGACTCTCGATCTGGCATGGAAGCCCCCCCCCCCCAAGTTCCTCTTTTTTTCCTTCTTTCTTCTTCCTCTCAGTTTAAGCTAGCAACAACCACCAACTTGGTTTTTCTCTCCTTCCTTGCTCTCAGCTTAACACACACACACATATTTTTCTTTCCTCTCTTTTATTCAACCTCACTCACGGTTTCAACAAAACAAAACACACACACATACACTAGTTTGTGTTTTAAACACACACACGCACATGCACACACACACTCTACACTTTAAACACACACACACACACTCACATGACATACACAACACACAGCCACATAGCCATCAAAATGACTCACCTACTTCTTAAGTTAACACATGTAAAGCTGACTCACTTAATTGGGTAATTATGCTTGCCTCCCCCAAGTTTGTAAGTGATTTCGAAATCAACCCACTACTATTTTCATAGTTTCATATAATTGAAATCTAACCCACATAATTATGTTAATATGCATACAATGCATTATTGAGTCTTACAACTCTCCCCTACTAATAAAAATTTCGTCCTTGAAATTACTTACCTTTACTAAAAAAATGAGGATATTGAGTCTGCATACTCTCCTCAGTCTCCCAAGTTACTTCCTCTATTGAGTGACTACACCACAAAACCTTTACCAATGGTATCGTCTTTGAGCGTAATACTTTCTCCTTCCTACCCAAAATTTGAATTGACTGCTCTACATAAGTCAAATCCTCAGGTAACTCCATCGGTTCTAAAGTTAACTCATGTGATAGGTCAGACAAGTATTTTCGTAGCATAGAAATATGGAATACATCATGCAACCTGGACAACTCTATTGGTAAATCTAATCGGTATGCAACAGCTCCAATCCGCTCCACAATGCTGTACGGACCAATATAACTGAGAGCCAACTTTTCTTTCTTGCCAAATCGAATGACCCTTTTCCAAGGTGATACCCTTAGAAATACTCGATCACCCATCTCGAATTTCAAGTCACATCAGCGATTGTCTACATAACTTTTCTGCCTGCTCTATGCACTCCATAATCTCTCATTTATAACTTTAATCTGATAAGTAGTCATCTGCACAATCTCTGGACCCACTTCACTCTAGCACACTGGGGTCCTATACTTCCTCCTATACAATGTTTCATATGGTGCCATCTCAATTGAAATCTGGTAGCTGTTATTATAAGAAAATTCAATCAAAGACAAATAATCATCCCAGTTACCTCTAAGATCCATTACACAAGCTCTCAGCATGTCCTCCAATGTTTAAATAGCACGCTCTATTTGTCTATCTGTTTATGGGTGGAATGCTGTACTAAACTTTAAAGTGGTGCCCAACGCAGTCTGTAAGTTGGGCTAAAACCTCGAAGTAAAGCGTGGATCCCTGTCAAAGACAATAGATACAGGTACACCATATAGTCTAACAATCTCATCAATGTACAATCTAACTAGCCTATCAAGAGAATAGAAAATCTTAATAGCTAGAAAATGAGCAGACTTCATTAATCTATGAACTATCACCCAAATGGTCTCCTGTCCTCTCTGCGTAGGGGGCAAACCACTCACAAAATTTATAGTGATATGCTTCCATTTTCATTCTGGAATCGGTAGAGGCTGTAATAACCAGGCTGGTCTCTGATTCTCAGCCTTCATTTGCTGACATACTAAACATCGAGCCACAAATTCAGCTATTTCTCGTTTCATCCTAGGCCACCAATAATACTCTCTCATGTCACGATTCAATTTTGTACTACTTGGATGCATAACATATGCTGAACTGTGTGTTTTCTCCAAAATCTCTCTTTTTAACCCTACATTGTTAGGTACACATAACCGAGAACTAAATAATAAAACATCAGCACTGTCAACAATAAAATCAGTTTTCACCATAGTCTTCGCCTCTTTTTTCAATTTCTCAATCTGGAGATCATACCACTGTGCCTTTATGATCCTATCCACTAGCACTGGTCTTAAAGTCAATGTAGCAAGTAAAACTATAGTCTCTTCTATCCCTAACTACACTCTTAAATATTTCAAATTCACAAATAAATCTATCACAAACTAGCCAATCTATCTGATATTTTTGGCTCAAAGCATCTGCAACAATATTTGCTTTTCCTGGATGGTAATGAATAGTACAATCATAATCCTTAATAAGCTCAATTTAGTGCCGCTGCTTCAGATTCAAGTCTTTCTGGGTAAACAGATATTTCAAACTCTGGTAATCTGTATAAATCTCACATGTAACCCCATATAAAAAATGTCTCCACAATCTTAGTGCAAATACAATAGCTGCAAGTTCCAAATCATGGATAGGATAATTGCACTCATGCACTTTTAGCTGTCTGGAGACATAAGCTACCACTCTACCTTATTGCATCAACACACAACCTAAACCCTGATGTGAGGCATCACTATAAACTACGAATCCATCACTGCCTGACAGAATGGTCAATATTGGTGCAGTGGTCAATTTTGTCTTTAGCACTTATACATAACTAATAAGTGTAGGCTGGATATCTCATATTCCGTGGGGAGACTAAGTAGATATACACATAATCCAAATTAAAGAGCATTGGGTTATCTTAGAGAGACTCTTTAAGTATCTTAAAGGAACCATAGACTATTCTTTATGTTATAGTGGATTTTCAAGTGTACTTGGGGGCTTCAGTGACGCAAATTGGATCATTGATAATTATATATAAAATCTACTATTGGTTTATGTCTTTTTGTTAGCAGGAGTAGTCATATCTTAGGAATCTAAAAAAATAAACCCTAATATCAAGAATTAATAGGGATTCAAAACGCACATACAGAGAGAGAGACAAACACCGTGATTGAGGCAGAAGGAGAGTGAGAGGCTAATCGCTGACTTCAGTGATGACCGACGTCGATGTGTGTGTGTTGGCGGGGTGTAGGCAAAGACAGAGCGGGAAGAAGAAGGTTGGTTGGAGTATTTTTTCTATGTGTGTAATTGGGGGTAAATGGGAAACATCAAAAAGGTGTGTGTGTGATAGAGAGAGAGAGAAAGAGTAAAGAGTGGGAGAGTATGTGTTTAAATTTTAAAACGTCTGAGAGATAGGATAAATATTTGAGAGATGAGAGTACAAGAGAGAGATACATAAGAGAGATGAGAGTGTTAGAGTTGTAAAAAGAATAAAAGTGTTCCTAAAAAAGTTAGGTAGAATTTTTTTTTTTTTTGTGATCAATTGGGACTATCAAATGAATAATCTTAAAAGAATCTCAACCGCGAAAATTTAAAAACAAACAATATTAACTCCTAGATTTGCGGAAGATTTATATATATAAATAAAAAATTGGTATATTTTTCTGTAACAATAAACCCTCAAAAATAGCAAAAACATAAAGTTCTATCCACTCTCTTCTACTATCAAAATGCAGAAGGTCATGGCAAAGGCCAAGAACATAAGGAAGAAACTAGAAAGCACAGCAGATGATGGAGAATCTGGAGGAGGAGGGGAAGCTCCACCGCCCGGTGTGGTTGATGCCGTGGGTCCATCAGTTGGTGGAGTCGATGATGGAGTTGGAGGACAAGCACTAGGGGTGTTTGAGGTTGGAGAAGGCGAGGTCGGAGAAGGCGTGGCCGGAGGCGGAGGAGTAGTTGCAATAGTAGGAGGGGAAGCCCCAGGAGTACCAGAGACAGTGATGGCTAGCTTCTGACCGTTTTGGCAGTGGTCGCCGAAGGTGCAAATGTAGTAATGATCGCCAGCAGCATTAAGTGTGATATTGGCTGGTCCGGTCATGATTGGATTGCCACTGGCATTGTCTGAAATGCAGGCATCGTAGGGTGCTTTTGGTACTTGTAGGACATCATGTTGGTTGGTTAAGAAGTTGAAGGCTGCAAAACGCCACATCAAGTGAATCATTAATCAAAATGTGTGAATTAAATACCAGAATACTGCATTTTTCAAATAAATTTATCAATTTATGATAATTTTGAATTTGTTTACTAAATTATCACACATTTTAAAATAGAATTAAAAATTCTGTTCTTACAAGAAAAGCGAAGAGTCAATAACTCTGCTTTTTAATAAAAATTATAATCCGCAACATCGTAGTTTGGTAAATATATTTAAAAGTGTCGTATTTTGATTTTATTGTTTAAGAAATGTAGTAGACAGGTAATTGACTCCAAAATGTGTCTGGTCTATAGTTGCAGCAATTATGTTCTTGGTGGTATTTAAATGAGTTCAAAGAGCGCTATTAACAAAGCTTTTGTTTGTTCCACTTTTAATTTATGCAGAACATGTTTGTTTGGTACCAAAATTCGATCAAAAAAAACTCAGCAAGCAAAAAAATTTGGAGTACTTTTTTTGAAAGCCATCACACCATTTTTATGGCAATCAAAACAAATTCAAGGACCAATTCTTAGTGATTAAAGGTTGGGTCCAGTGCATATCTCTTGTTTACATCAATCCATTTATAATGTAATTAAGTACCAAAAATCAACTTGTTACTATCTAAACTCTCTAAAGTTTAATCTAACATTGCTAATTGCATGCCGATTTTGTTGCGCGTTCAGGGATGTGTCTTAGAATTATGAGGCCTAATTACTAGGCATTTAAGATATTGGTCTAAAAAGGCTGAGATTAGCAAAGAAGAGGGCGTGGGACTTACTTAGGGTATCACCAACCATGAACGTTTTACCAGAAGCCCAAGTAGTGTACGCCGCTGCACCACCTGAAGGTATCGTCCAACCCAAGCTGTCTCCGACCACGTAAACCGTTTGCGCTGCAGCACAGTGCAGCATAGCTGCGGCAAAAACACAAACAACAAACATGCTCATGAACTTACCCATCTCTCTCTCTCTCTCTCTCTCTGTAAGAACAATGTGTAGGGAAAAAAGTGGTATTGCTATTTGATTGATGAGAAGCTTGAAGGTCACAAAGTGCATATATATAGTCAAGGGATGGAAGGTGTTGGACACGGCCTTGGCGTATGAGAGAGAGTGCCTGACCTGCCACGGACGATGAGCTTTCAACGCCGGTCCTTGTCTTGTGGTGGTGGAATTAGTAGGTTCTGACAAGAACAAATGGAGAAAATTTGGAACCCAAATTAGAAAATTCGACTAGCAGACCAAGCCAACTCTTCCTTGCTGTGCGCCCCATACGAAAAGTCGAAGAATGCCTCTTTCAATGGCATCAATGGAGCTTGACTATTGATTTCTCCATAATATGGTATATTCAGAAAATAAAAATATTACTTGTTGATCCATTTGACAATAAAACTCTTAGCTGATCTAACTCTAACAATGACGCTCAAATCTCAATGTTAATTCATCAACAACTATGAATTATTATTATATTTTTTATTTATTTTCGGCGAGGGTGTGTTGAATGTAATTGATTTGGCCTCGATTAAGTTTTGCGCTTCTAAGGTTATTTTGGAAATGAGTTGAAGTCAAGCAACGTGAAAATTTGCTTGGCTCAAATAAGTGGTTGTATAAAAAAATGATTAATTTTATTGTAAAATGGAGGTTTGAATGATGAAGGGCTTCGGACGTGGACCTAAATGATTTCAGACGATGGGCATTTTTTTTCTCTCTTTTCTTTAATCTATTTTTTTAAATTAAAATTTCAGGGTTTATGGTTTATTATAAAGATTTTGAGATATTTTTGTTTAAAAATATTGAGGATTGACTTTTGAGTTTGAAGATTTAATTTTTAAAGATTTTAATGAAAATTTGAATTCTATTTGAAATTTTATTCAGCTCGAAATGCTCGTAAGATTCTACCGAACCATGTTTGGACAAGAATTTAAAATTAACAGAAATTCGACTAGAACTCAATCTTAACCAATTACAATCGAACCGCACTTAAGCATATTTTAGCTTGAGTTTCGGCTAGTAAGGGTGGGTGATGGTATGGAGTAAGTTGTTTGACCCCTTCGTTTCCCTATAATTTTTTTTAGTTCAACGTTGAGGGGCATTTGATATAATTTTTTTTTTTAGTTCAATATTGAGGGGTATCCGAACTAACTTACGCATATTTCGACCACTTCTTTCACCGGTCCGTTCAAAGGCAAACTATCAACAATGAAATTAAGGTATTTATGAGAGATAAATCCCTCATGCCTGACTCAAATGAATTGTTAAGATTCAAACTGAAAACGTCTAAATTTACACATCGTTCCTATTATCACTTAAACTAACTCTTGAGATTTCGTGTACCTACTTTTGCTAACCCAGACTAATTCTTCGAGTGCAAAAACATCATTAGACTTACCACCTACAAAGAACTCGCAAATAGTGCAATGGAGAAATATGATTAATATAGTCGATCATAAATAATTCGTATTAAGACTTTGTTTTGTTGAGTTGAATTGAATTGAATTATACTGTATCTGAAAAGAATTCACAAAAACCACCGCGTGAACGAAAATTTGACATATTGGGAGGAAGAAAAACCAAAACTTCATGACTAGAAAGTTTCTTGCATGGATATTCAACAAACCAAACTTCCATAATTAAGGAGTTTGAAGCTTTCAAAGTTGGGCAACAAGTTCTAGCAAATTAGACTTTTACGAAATAGTTGACTTTTTGTGCATTACCTTTTGGTCTTTCAGTGCTCGTAAGTCATAGCTCAATTGTGCTTCTTGAACATTAGGCTACATATATGGCTGATGGATGATTTTAAGTTACCTCCTAAAATTAAGTGACGTTTTTTAAAACTCACTTCAAATGACATTTTTATTCTTGTATGTATTTTAATTATTTTTTGTTATTAGAACTCGTTATTTTAAATGACGTTTTGGACCATGAAGGTGTCATTCTAAATGATGTTTTGCAAAAGTGAATTGGTTTGAAAAATAAGTTAAAAATAATTAGTTTTGAAAAATAAATTTTTGAGGGGCACGTCTTTGGTAAATTCCTCTCCACTTTCTCAACCGGCCCAATCATTGACTTATGTCCACTTATTAACGACAAATCAGGGCAAAAATTGAATTCTTCCCATTTAAGGAGAGAAAGACCACATCTCCTAGTGATGATTCCCAAAAAAAATAGTCTAAGGATGAGCTCGAGCATTTACCTCGGACATTTCCAACCTAGACATCCAGCCCGTCTCTGTTTGAGGTTAGACCTCCCATCCCAACAACCAGACCTCCACAAGGGTAGCATAAAGGACAGCTGGTTTGAGTGCCACCCATGTGGTAACACCAAAAACATGCGTATATCTAGGCAGGAGAGTTGCAACTGCACCAACACCCTCCGCGGTTGTTGCATGATAGTAGCAACCGTTACAAGGAGGAGACAAGGATCTCGCTGAAGATCAACAAAGCTCAGGATCAACTATAAATGAGAGACATAACCCTTAATAGAGAAGAATAAGCTATTATAGCCTGAACAAATACTCTGTAATCTCTTTTCTTATTAATATATTTCTTAGGAGTAAAGTTCAGAATGCCGCAGACAGAAGCCTTTGATGAGACCAGGGATCCCATGGACTATCTCAACACCTACAAGAACCAGATGAGCTGCATTGTTATCAAGACCCAGTGCGATGTCGAGCTTTCTCTATCACACTGAAGGGCTCAGCCTTGGCTTGGTTCAACAGGCTGATCGCAGCTTCTATTTCTTCATTCAAAGAGCTCTCTGTATCATTTGTATCACATTTCATTGGAGCCTGGATCTACCAAAATCTGAGCTACCATTGATTGAATGTGAAACAGGGACCCAAAGAGACACTACGAAGTTACGTTTAGAGGTTCAATTCAGAATCTCTAAAGGTAGACGTCCCTGATGAGAGATTTGCCCTCACTGCCTTCATTGCTAGACTGGTAGTCCGGTTCAAGGACTTAATGTTCTATATATCTAAGAACTTACAAGCTAGTATGATTGAGGTCCTTGCCAAGGTAGAGAAGTACATCAACGACGAGGAAGCATTCCTCTCAAAAGTTGGTAACTCAGGTACCTACAAGGAGAAAGAGAAAAGATAAGACCGAAGTTCAAAGACGGAAAGGAGTCGAGAAAGGTCTCCACTGTTGGGATTTAACACGCTTTAAATCCACAAACAAACACACACAATCGAAGAACAAACCAAGAACATAAAGTAATAAGAAACAAGAAAGAACAAGACACAGATTTTACGTGATTCAGCAATTTGCCTACGTCCATGAAGCTGTAGGAATTTCACTATTGAGAGAGATGAATACAGAGAGCGGCTGTACAAAACGCCATAAACCTTAATCACCAAAACAATGAGTTTTATATGTCCTGCGCAGTGGGCTACAAAACAGACCCAAAAAATTTTCCTCGGGGCCGTTGCCCCCCGAACCCCCACGAGATTTGTCCATGAGTGTTGCGACTTGGGTTTATCAGTCCAAGCCTTCGCTCCATGGTCCAAGCCTCAGAAAATTTTCCATTAAAAAACCACGCAACATTATTTCGGGTCAGGTCATCATCCGAATCAAGCACACAAACTAGACTCCACAAAAGGCCCAACATCCACGAAGAGACAAATATCACTCCCCAAAAAGAAGTTGAGACATTAGAGATCGCCTAGATGCCCCACTTCAAGAGTTGCAGCCAGGGAACACTCCAAAGCAGTTTACTCCCCTTAACGCCATGGTGTCCCAAGTCCTCTACGAAGTACAGAATAAAAAGTTCCTGAGGTGACCACCTCGGATGAAAGCTGACCCCGCAAAATGGGATGCTACAAAGTACTATGAGTATCACTAAGACCATGGTCATCACACTGACGATTGCATCCAACTGAAGAAGGAGATTGAGCTCCTAATTTTGAGGGGTCAGCTACGCTGCTTCGCAGCACAAGACAATTAGAATCGAGCTCACCCACCCCCAGCACCTCCGCAGCAAGCTCTTGTGCAACACCAATAGCCCTTGGGAGAAATTAGGGTGATATTAGGAGGATTTGCTGGAGGTGGGGAAACCAGCTCAACCAGGAAGGTCCACATACGCAAAATTTGAGCTGAAGACTTTTTGGAGATACAGTTTGTATCCAAGGCACCTCGATTGAGCATGGACATATCACTCTCGGATGCAGATCTAAAAGGCTGCCAGCATCCCCACGATAATCCTTTGGTGGTAAGAGCCATCATTGGCAATAGACTCGTTCATCGAGTTCTGATCGACAATGGGAGCTCTGCCGATATCAGCTTTGCATTCGCCTTCAACAAGATGAATATTAGCAGAGAAAAGCTCGAACCAATGAGGACTCACTTGCTTGGGTTCACTGGAGAGAGGGTGCTACCACTGGGCTTAATCCAACTTATGCACACAATGGGAGACCCTCCTTGCCAATCCACCACCAAAGTAAGATTCTTAGTAGTTGACGCCCCATCAGCGTACAACGTTTTGCTAGGAAGACCTTCCCTCAACGTCATTAGAGCCATTCCTTTTTCCTACCATCTCATAATAAAGTTTCCTAGCAAGAATGGCATTGGAGTGGTCTAACTTTAAGAATGGCGTTGGAGTGGTCTTACTTCAAGAATGGTGTTTGAGTGGTCCGAGGAGACTAGCGAGTGGCGCAAGAATGCTACATAGCATCTATGAAGAAGAAAGAAGTCGAGACCATATAGATGGATGAGCTCAACATGAGAGATGAGTTGGAAACAAGGCCCACACCTTTAGAAGAGTTGGAACCGATCCAGCTCGATGAAGACCCAGGACATTTGGTGAACGTGGGGTCAAAACTGCTCAAGGATGTTAAGGACCTCCTTATTCAATTTCTGAAAAAGAATATGGATGTATCACATGGAAGCAGGAGGACATGTAGGGGATTGACCCCTCAGTCATCGCGCACAAGCTCAGCGTGAATCTAGCCTTCAAGCCTATCAAGT